GGTCCGGGCGCAGAGTGCGGCCGCGCGGGTGGTAATGGGAGCGTCATGGCGCTCCCATGTGACACCTCTCCTGCGCGAGCTGCACTGGCTCCCGGTGGTCTTCCAGGTGCGCTTCAAGGTTTTGGTTACCACCTTTAGAGCGCTCCATGGCTTAGGACCTGGTTATCTACGGGACCGCCTACTACCACCAATAGCCTCCCAGTACGCTCTCATAGAGAGGGACTCCTCCGGGTGCCGTCAGCCAAACAGTGTCGGCTGGCGGCCCCCAGGGGGAGAGCCTTCTCTGTGGGGGCACCTACCGTCTGGAATGAGCTCCCCCCGGAGATACGGAGGATCCCAGATCTGCGCACCTTCCGCCGCGCTGTGAAGACCTTTTTATTCCATCAAGCGGGCTTGGCCTAATCTCCTCCCTCTTTTAATATGTAAATTTTAATCTGTTTTTAAATTATTGGGGTGTTTTAATCTGTCCGGGCCAAAATGATTTAATTTGATTTTATCTGGTTTTTAAATTTTGTGTATTTATGTATTTTATTGTTTGGCTGTTCCCCGCCCTGAGTCCTTCGGGAGTAGGGCGGTATACAAATCAAATAAACTAACTAAACTAACCAAAATTTTCTCGCGGACCCCCAGTTGGTGACCGCTGGACTAGAAGACCTCCAAGGTCCCTCCCAACTCTGTTATTCTGCATTCTCTTCTAATTGGGGATCAAGCAGGAAAGACTCACATATTTGAGGAGGCCGATTTGAATGTTGCTGCAAAAATTGAAACCCAGGAGTTCCACGCTGGTCTTTTGTTGGAAGAACAACCAAACTTGGGAGCAGCCAGATAGCATTTCGGAAGACTAAACCAGTTTCCCTTCCAGTTTTTCAATCTCAAGAATGTCGTCCGTTTATCCTCTTGAAGTGAATACGGCTGTGCTTCTCCATTAATTGTGCTGACTGGCTGTGCTGCGATCCTTAATTGAAGCATCGTTTTTAACGAGGCACCCAAATTGGATTGCTTTCCTTCCTGCCTTCCCTCCACTGATCCCGGACGAGCGTGAAAACCTAATGGGCCACTTCACACATGTAAATGCACCTTATATGTTGGCACGTGTCATTTGTGAAACATGAACGACGAAGCGTGGAAATAGTATTAGTAGTATTAGTACTAATACTTTTTTTATATATATTTTTAATTTTTATACCGCCCCCTCTCCCGAAGGACTCGGGGCGGTGAACAGCCAGAATTAAAAACACACAATACAAATATTAAAATACATTAAAACAAAATTAAATTATCTTTGGCTTCTCCAATTTAAAACCCCTTACCCATAAAATTCACCCAATTAAAAATTTTTTAACCCAGCCCGACTTGCTGAAATAAAAAAGTCTTCAGGGCCCTGCGGAAGGTACGGAGGTCCGGGATTAGTCGTATTCCTGGGGGTAGCTCATTCCAGAGGGCGGGTGCCCCCACATAGAAGGCTCTTCCCCGGGGGGGGGGTCGCCAACCGAAATAGAGGAGAGAGCAAATATTACATGAAACTAGTGGTGGGTTTCAAATTTTTTTTACTACCGGTTCTGTGGGTGTGGCTTGGTGGGTGTGGTGTGGCTTGGTGGGCGTGGCTTGGTGGGCATGGCAGGGGAAGGATACTGCAAAATCTCCATTCCTTCCTCAATCCAGGGGAAGGTTACTGCAAAATCCCCATTCCCACCCCAGTCCAGGGGAAGGTTACTGCAAAATCCCCACTCCCACCCCAATCTAGGGGAAGGATACTGCAAAATCCCCATTCCCGCCCCACTCTGGGACCAGCCAGAGGTGGTATTTGCCGGTTCTCCAAACTACTCAAAATTTCCGCTACCGGTTCTTCAGAACCTGCTGGATTTCACCCCTGCAACCCTATCTGGTGAGCGTCAGCTTCAACATGGAAGGTCCAAAGAAGAGTTTCAAATGGCTTTTGTCCGATTCAAATCACAAGATGGCCTCTCCACTCTAGTCCATGCACAGGACATACTAATCATCCTCTTTTAATGACCCCATAATGCCTTTGCAGGGCGGGAGTCTGGGCAACTGAATGGAGCTGAGCGTTTACTGGCCGGATGCCCTTCCTGTCGCCAATGCGGAGTATTTTTTTCCAGCAGAGATATTCTCATCGTGCCCAGAGAGAGAAATATCTGCCTCTACCTAGGATCGAACTCACAGCCTCCTGACTGTGAGGCAAGAGCTCCACCTCTAGGCCACCGCACCACTCCCAGACATACTAATAGTCGAGTCTAAATGTCTTTACTTGGTGGAACTCAAGTCTTGGCCTCAATTCAGCAGCTGGCTTGCCGGCACGTTGGTAGCATGCTGGTTTTGATCACCAGTGGGTCCCTCTCTTGTCCTTCTGGATCCCACGCAATCAGTGGTGGGATTCAAGTAATTTAACAACCGGTTCTCTGCCCTAATGATTTCTTCCAACAACCAGTTTTCCAAATTGCTCAGAAAGTTAACAACCGGTTCTCCCGAACCGGCTGAATCCCATCACTGCACGCAATGCCCTAAGCTTGGGATTCATTGTGATTTGTTTGAGTAACCTGCAACTAGCTAGCATTGCACAACAGGAAACTGCCACAGGAGCCCTGGTGGCGCAGCAGGTTAAAGTGCAGTATTGCAGGCAAACTCTGCCCACAGCCTGGAGGTTCGATCCCAGCAGGGCTCAAAGTTGACTCAGCCTTCCCTGTCTGTAAAGTTGGGGGGCAATATGTAAATAATGCTGATATTATTGCAAACCGACCAGAGAGCGTTGTAAAGCATTATGGACCATCTACAAAAGTTATTGCCGTTGCAATCTACATCCCCAACATCTTTGGCTACCAGCCACAGATCCCAAACTGCTAGACTGACAAACGCTCTAAGCTAAAGCCAAACCAACCACGTTCGTCTTATTTAGATCAGCGCAAATCTGGCCTCTGGATGAGTCCCCGAAACCCCATTTGGTGCAGCAACGATGCCTTTTTCTGTCCGGCGCCTGTCTGCTTAACATCCACCTCGATGAAGAATTCTGGTGATCCAGAAAGGCAATCTTCCCATTAGTCACCATCTTTTTTTTTTTCCTTTTCTTTAGGATACGCGCTACCATAGCCAAGTAGCATGTTGGGGCATATGGGAAGGCAACCTTCCCAAATTACTCGCCCTTTTTTTTCTTCTCTCTCTCTCTCTCTCTCTCTCTCTCTCTCTTTAGGATACGCGCTATTGAAAGCGACCTTTGCACATTCATTACCCTCTTTTTCCCTTTAGGATACGGCGTGCTACCGTAGCCAAGTAGCATGTTGGGGCATATGGGAAGGCGACCTTCCCAAATTACTCGCCCTCTTTTTTCTTCTCTCTCTCTCTCTCTCTCTCCCTCTCTCTCTTTAGGATATGCGCTACTGAAGATGACCTTTGCACATTCATCGCCCTCTTTTTCCCTTTAGGATACGCGCTACAGGAGCCAAATAGTACGACAGGGCTTATGAGAAGGCGACCTTTCCAAATTACTCGCCCCCCCTCTCTCTCTTTAGGATACGCGCTACTGAAGACGACCTTTGCACAGTCATCGCCCTCTTTTTCCCTTTAGGATACGCGTTACCATAGCCAACTAGCACAACGGGGCTTATGAGAAGGCGACCTTCCCAAATTACTTGCCCTCTTCTCTCTCTCTCCCTCTCTCTCTCTCCCTCTCTCTCTCTCTCTCTTTAGGATACGCTATTGAAGACGACCTTTGCACATTCATTGCCCTCTTTTTCCCTTTAGGATACGCACTACCGGAGCCAAATAGCACAACGGGCCTTATGAGAAGGCGACTTTCCCAAATTACTTGCCGTCTTCTCTCCCTCCCTCCCTCCCTCCCTCCCTCTCTCTTTAGGATACGCACTACTGAAAACGATCTTTGCACATTCATCGCCCTCTTTTTGCCTTAAGAATACAATCACGATGGGGCTTATGAGAAGCCAACCTTCCCAAATTACTCTCTCTCTCTCTCTCTCTCTCTCTCTCTCTCTCTCTCTCTCTTTAGGATACGCGCTACCATAGCCAAATAGTATGACAGAGTTTATGAGAAGGCAATCTTCCCAAATTACTCGCCCTCTTTCTCTCTCTCTCTCTCTCCCTCCCTCCCTCTCTCTCTCCCTCTCTCTCTCTCTAGGATACGCGCTACCATAGCCAAATAGTATGACAGAGCTTATGAGAAGGCAATCTTCCCAAATTACTCGCCCTCTTTCTCTCTCTCTCTCTCTCTCTCTCTCTCCCTCCCTCCCTCCCTCTCTCTCTCCCTCTCTCTCTCTTTAGGATACGCGCTACCATAGCCAAATAGTATGACAGAGCTTATGAGAAGGCGATCTTCCCAAATTACTCGCCCTCTTTCTTTCTCTCTCTCTCTCTCTCTCTCTCCCTCCCTCCCTCCCTCCCTCCCTCTCTTTAGGATACGCGCTACCATAGCCAACTAGCACAACGGGGCTTATGAGAAGGCGACCTTCCCAAATTACTCGCCCTCTTTTTTCTTCTCTCTCTCTCTCTCTCTCCCTCCCTCTTTCTCTCTCTCTTTAGGATACGCGCTACCGTAGCCTCGCCGGACGATCGCCGCCGGGGCTCCCTCGCTCCGAAGTCGCTCTGCAGAGATCTGCAGGTCGCTCTGCGGAGGCGGCGATCTGCAGATCCCTCGGGATTGGGTGGGTGGGTAGTACCGGTGGTCGCTGGTCCCTCTCCAGCACCAGCAGCAGCCTGCCTGCCTTGCGCGCTTCTCCCACCCCGCGGGGGCATCTCTCTCTCTCTCTCTCTCTCCTGCGAGGCTTGCGCGATCCCGGCCAGCCCGGGAGCAGCAAAAGCGCAGCGACTGCAGCCTGGCGCGCACCAAAAGTGGGGGTGGGGGGGTGGAGAGAGAGAGGGGGGGGATGGGTGGGGTACCAAACCTTGGCTCCTCCCCGATGCTCGGCAGGTCGGCTGGCGATTGGTCGAGAGGGAGTCGGGATCCTCCGCTTGCCCTGCCCCTCCCTCCCCTCCTCTCCTCTCCTCTCCTCCTTCTCCTTCTCCGCATGCCGCGCCGGAGGTTGCTCGCCTGGTCCTCGCTCGCCTGGCTTGGCTTGGCAGGTTGCGCGGCTTTCCGGATCGGGATCCTGAGCGGCAGCGCGGGGTCTGCGCGCCTCGGGCTGAGCAGGGGTTTCTTCTCCTCCCCTCTGCGGGCTTCTGGCATGGGAAGAAGAAGAAGCAGCAGCATCAGCAGGGACCGTCGCAAGGGCTCGCTGGCTTCGTGACTTGGATCGGGTGGGGGAAAAAAAAAAAAACACCCCAAAAAAGGCTTGCGCGCTTTTGGGGGGCGAGCGCTGCTTTTCCGTCTCCCCGGGATCTGCTTGCCCGGTTTCTGGCTTTCCCCGCAGCGATCCGGCGCCTCCTGCGGAGCCAGGTAAGGCGGCGTTGCAAAACACCTCCTGCGCCAGAGGTGATGGTTCGCGAGTGGGGGAGAGATAGCTGGATCGCAGCAGTGCGCGGAGCATTTTTTAGAGCTTCCTTCCTTCCATCCATCTATCTTTTGGTGCCTTTTCCCCCCGGATACCCCCAAACTCCATCATCCTCAGCCGGGTCTCGAACTGCCCGGGAGATATCCCGCTTTAGAAGAGGGCGTTGGATCGCCCAAATCTTCCAAGGGTGACCTTGGAGAGTCGCCTTCAAGCCGGAGACTGGGGTGGTGGGGGGGGGGTGGAGGATCTACAAGCCTCAGGCTTCATCCCCTGGGTGGTGGATGATGGTGTTGGGGACGGGTGGGTGTCAGTGATTGGAGGAAGAAGAGCCTCTGGCTTTTGGTGCGTGGATCAGCCCACCTCGCAAGGTTGTTGTTTTGTTTTGTTTTGTTTTTTTTAATTTGATTTATATGCCGCCCTTCTCCGGAGACTCAGGTCGGTTTACAATGCGTTAAGCAATAGCCTTCATCCTTTTGTATATACCTGCTTAGTAGGGCTTTCGCCCCCCCCCCCAAGTGGGGCTTTTGCCCCCCCCCTTTTTTTAAAATTTGATTTATATGCCGCCCTTCTCCAGAGACTCAGGGCGGCTTACAATGCGTTAAGCAATAGCCTTCATACTTTTGTATATTTATACAAAGTCAGCTTATTGCCCCCCACAAACTGGGTCCTCAATTTACCTACCTTAGAAAGGATGGAAGGCTGAGTCAACCTTGAGCCTTGGCGAGATTCGAACCTGCAGTAATTGCAGGCAGCTGGTCTTAATCACCAGCTTAATAACAGGGTGCCTTAGACCACTGTACTACCAAGGCTCTTTGGCTGTTTGGGCAAAGGAGTGGAGGAGAGAAGATGGTTGGTTCTTTGCATGGTCTGTGGGGTGTGTGTGTGTGTGTGTGTGTGTGTGTGAAACAAGCTCGGATGTGGATAGAATAAATAGAAATAAGACCCCCCCCCCCCCGGCAAAATGTGCCATAAACAAACAAGGAGAAATGGGACAACCAAGGACAAGAATTGACATCTTCTCCCTCTCTCTCCCAGGCCTTCCGCACAACCTTCCCCAAACTTCTTTTCTTTCGGGATCCGGTTCAAAAGCAATTTTGCAGTGGCGTTTTTTTTGTTTTTGTTTTTTCTCTTATCGGAAGGTGGAGTCAGGTTTTCCCACCCAGGATGGGTATCTTAATGGTGCCATCGGTGGAGGAGAAGGGCCGAAGGAGGGAAACGATTTGCTGCTCCTGCAGCGTAGAAGGGCCTCTTCTCTGTCCACCAGACAGGAGGGATTTTATTGGTTCGATTTATATGCCGCCCTTCTCCGGAGACTCAGGGCGGCTTACAATGCGTTAAGCAATAACCTTCATACTTCTGTATATACCTGTTTAGTAGGGCTTTCGGCCCCCCCTAAGCGGTGTTCTTTTTTATACAAAGTCAGTTTATTGCCCCCACAAACCGGGTCCTCATTTTACCTACCTCGAAAGGATGGAAGGCTGAGTCAACCTTGAGCCTGGTGGGATTCGAACTTGCAGTAATTGCAGGCAGCTAAGTGCTACTTAACAGTGCTTTAGTCTGCTGCGCCAGCAAGGCTCTTAAGCCTTTGGGTCTCCGTCTGATTTAAACCCAACTCCGGAAACCTATTTGGCCTGGTGTCCTTTCCATCTTGACAACTCGAAGACGTGCGGACTTCCAACTCCCAGAATTCTGGGAATTGAAGTCTGCACATCTTCCAAGTTGCTAGGTTTGAAAAACAAACAAACAAACATGCACGCACACACGGCAACTGGTGGATTCCCCTGTGCCCTTTTGCCAGCTGCTTAATGACGGCTATTAAACCTGTCAGGTTGAATTCCTCATGGCTCCCGGGAAAGAGTCATCCTCCTCCTGCCTTCCTACAAGGAAGACAAACATCAAGAACTGCACCGGGGATTTGCCAAATTTGGACAGGCAGGAGTCCTGAAATCGAACCCTAAACAGTTATATGTGTGTGTCCTTTTTTTTTTTTTTGTAAACATGGAAGTGCATATGTGTGCATGGATTTCAGCGGGTGCAAATGATAGGCACGTGAGCACATGTCTGTGGCATAGGATGAGAGCTTGGCACGGAGCTGTGTGCAAAGTCTTTGTACCAAATGTCATCGTGTGTCATCGCAAGCAGGGGAAACAAAATTCTTCGCTGCTCGGTCAGATTACCGCTGCGTGACACGGCGATGTAGCTGTTTTATAACTGCGTGTTTATTTGTGCGGTGGTTTTAGAAGTCGAGACGTTGCGGTTAGCGTTGAGAAGACCTCGGGTCATATCCTGGGTGGGTTGAGCAAGAAGCCTTCCGAGTGATTCTGTGATTTTCTCAATGCTTATATCTTAGTAAGTTATAGGAAGGGTTGCTTTGATGATTGGGGCTTAGCCTGTTATGCGAAATGCTTGTATCGTAGTTTATCCAGCAAACCTTGGTATAAAACACGTGCGCCTCTTTTCAGCTGAGCTAAGCCCGCTGGGATGTTGAGCAAGGGAGTGAGGGAAGAACAAACTCGTTTTGCTACTCTTAGCAACTTGAGAAAGGTAAAAAAAAAAAAAAAAAGGATAATGCGATGCAGGCAATCCTTGATTGTTAGATGTTAGATTAGTAGAGTTGGAAGGGATCTTGTAGGTCATCTAGTCCAACCCCCCCGGCCCAATCAGGTGACCCTACACCATCCCCAACAAATGGCAGTCCAGTCTCTTTCTTGAAAGCCTCCAGTGATGAAGCTCCCACAACTTCCGAAGGCAACTTCTGTTCCATGGGTTGATTGTTCTCACTGTCAGAAAGTTCCTCCTCATTTCCAGGTTGAATCTCTCCTTGTTCAGTTTCCATCAATTATTCCTTGTCTGGCCTTCAGGTGCTTTGGAAAATAGCTTGACCCCCTCCTCTCTGTGGCAGCCCCTCAAATATTGGAAGACTGCTATCCTATCTCCCCTGGTCCTTCTCTTCACTAGACTAGCCATGCCCAGTTCCTGCAACCGTTCATCGTATGTTTTAGTCTCCAGTCCCCTAATCATCCTGGTTGCTCTTCTCTGCACTTTTTCTAGAGTCTCAACACCTTTCTTATAGTGTGGGGACTTTCTTATAGTATTCTAGGTGTAATTCTAGGTGTCTTACTAAGGCTTTATAGAGTGGTAGTAATACCTCACCTTCCAACTCTCTTATTCTGAATTCTGTATTTTGTTTTTTATTCTTATCGAACGAGTTGGCAGTTTTTGCCTTTAATGATTCACGTTGTAGATTCTCCCATCCCTTCTGAATTCTTTTGTGTTTCTGAATGTGGTTAGAGACCACAAGACCTTGGTGCCTTCCGCCGTGCCCTTAAAACTTTCTTTTTTCATCAAGCCAGGCTGGCTTAACACATTTTTAAATTTTAAATTTTTAATTGGTTTGTCACTTTAAACTGGGGCCAAATTAATATGTATTCTTTTAATTGTTCTTAATGTTTGTATTGTATGTTTTTATCTGGCTGTACACCGCCCTGAGTCCCTTGGGAGAAGGTGCGGTATATAAATTTGAAATAAAATAAAATAAAAATAAAGAAATAGAGTGCAGTACTGCAGCTACTTCAGCTGACTGCTAGTTCAGCAGATCAGCGGATCAAATCTCACCGGCTCAAGGTTGACTCAGCCTTCCATCCTTCCGAGGTGGGTAAAATGAGGACCCAGATTGTTGGGGGCAATATGCTATTTAGTATACTGTCTTTGGTGTAAGCTGCCCAGAGTCCTCGGAGAGTGGGCGGCATAGAAATACAATTAATTAATTAATTAATTAATTAATTAATTAATTAATTAATTTGGCCTATTGAAGATGTTATCAGCGCACCTCCCTGATGTTTATCCAGCTCCACTGATCATTGGTCAGTGACATTCAACAGGCCAAAGGTCTGGGACTATGAGGAGCAGAGGAAACACTTCGCCTAATCAAGATCTACTAATAGTTACTAGTAAGGTGGTCTTGGTCAGCAGTTACTCAGGGGTTCTGAGCTTCACTTCATCCCAAATTCAGTAGGCTGCAAATTCCCAAATCTGGCTGTCAAATCTCATAAGAATGGAGAACGCTACGCATCATGCGAAACAGAAGCCAGCATTCACACTGAAAAGATTTCATATTTTTTTTTCATACTTTTTTATAGTGTGGTGACCAAAACTGAATGCAGTATTCTAGGTGTGGTCTTACTAAGGCTCTATAGAGTGGTATTAGCACCTCACTTGATCTTTCTTTTTTTTTTTGAGAAATCTTTTTTTATTTTAAAACAAAAACAAAACGTAAAACCATCGTCGTTCCAAACAATTACAGTGAGTCGAACGGCTCATATTCTCTTGTGCATAAATCCATTTCTAAAATACCAATTTATAACAGAAACTTATATCTTTTATAGAAAAAATAAAACATCAGATATTTTCTCTTTACATCAACCCTGTATTTCATACTTCAATTCCATGATTTATTACCTATCCATTGATAAAACAAATCCCGTATCAAATAATATTGTTTATCTTCCATGTTCTCTGATTTCAAATGTCAATTTACTCATTTCAGCACAGTCCATCATTTTCTTAATTATCTCATCATCAATCGGTAGCTTCTCTCCTTTCCAATTTTTAGCAAATACGATTCTAGTCGCTGTTAAAACATTCACAATTAAATATTGCAATTCTCTGTTATATGTTTCTGGTAAAATCCCCAATAAAAATATCTCTGGTTTAAAGCCAATAGGTTTCTTTTGTCATTTTTCCAACCACGTGTATATCTCACCTCCCTTGATCTTGATTGTATCCCTCTGTTACAACCACAGTTGAGGCTAGAACATCCGTCGCTAAGCAATTCATTCAATGAGTCCTGGCCAATTTTGCAATCTTTTTGCCCGCCGTTGTTAAGTGAATCCCATGGTTGTTGAGCAAATCTTGCCTCCCCCATTGACTCTATTTGTGGGAAAGG